AATCACATGCACATATTGTTGAGATATATAGTCCCACATTGGTTGTATGAGTAACTAATGTGGAGTTTATAAGGCCTTGGGCACTCCCACCCTTTGAGCTAGCTTTTGGGGTGGTGTATCCCAAGGTTCTTTACATGGTACGCCCCCCACTTTCTCTTGTGGAGTTTCTTAGCACAGGTAGGCTGGGCCTGTTGCATTGTCCACTCTTCAAGCCCAATGGGCTCTTGTGTGAGGGGGCGTGTTGAGATATATAGTCTCACATTGGTTGTATGAGCAACTAATGTGGAGTTTATAAGGCCTTGGGCACTCCCACCCTTTGAGCTAGTTGTGTGAGGGGGCGTGTTGAGATATATAGTCCCACATTGGTTGTATGAGCAACTAATGTGGAGTTTATAGTGCCTTGGGCACTCCCACCCTTTGAGCTAGCTTTTGGGGTGGTGTATCCCAAAGTTCTTTACACATGTAGTCGTATAGCATGCCATATTTCCATATGTTTCAAAACGTTTGTCATTAGTTAACCCGGCGGTATCGAACTCAACCGTGAGTTTCAAAATGAACTATGTAGCCATCTTATACAATCAATTTTACGTACCATGCAGAGAGGAGAAGAAAAGAGAGCAACAAAATCTATGTATTGTATTCGTATTTGGTGAAAAACTGAGTGAAAAAAATGTTTAACATTTTGTACGGATAATAATATTATTGTTGGGTATGATCACTCATACTTCATATATTAATGGGAGTCTTTGTTGGTAAGGTCGGCAAAAGACAATTGAAGTTTCGCTTCGAGGTGAGCGGCGGGGGTCCGATGGAGCCACCCTGGCGGGGTACAAGGGGCAGCACCCTCGGACCTGTTGAGGTCTGGTACTATTGTGGGAGACTTATTGTAATTTTATTTTTTTTAATAGTTTGTACTTGAGCCCAGCTGTTGTTAGTATTTTCTAAATCCTATTTATATTTTCTTGTAAACCGAGTGACTTGTAACAAGTGACGGTAATGTGAATCTAGTACAGATAAACTGGACGTGTCAATTTCTCTTTGCATTTTTCGATTTGTATCTCTCGATTTCCAACAATTATTTTGATTCTTTTTGGGGTTTTGTCATTGGCTTTACCCTTCTTCTTCTTTTTATACCATTATTTCAAAAGTTTTAATTGATGTAGTTTCAGTTCCAAAAAAAGTTCAAACCATATCATATATATAGTCAGTCACTAAGCGTAAAAATTTAACTGGAAAAAAAAAAAACAAAGCCGAAAAATGAAATGAAAATATTTTTTTTTATTTCATTTGGTTATAAACATGCTAAATACAAATATTCTATATGCAATAATTTCCCTTGAAGTGGATGAAAAAGTTAAAAATTATTTTTTTATGGGTAAAGTATTTCTCTAATCACTGGAGATAGATAAATTATCTTCCACTGACCCCCAAAACTACATCTTTTTGAATTAATTAAGGATATTTTTATAATTTTATTTATCTTTTTATCATATGAATTTTACCGAAACACTATTCATTAATTCCTCTAAAATTATGCAAATACCTTTCATTGATTCAAAATGACGTAATTTTAGAAGTGACTGAAGATAATTTATTTTCGATGACTGAAGAAATACTTTACCTATATATATATATATATTATCAATCAATTCATCAATTACTTAATTAATTCGATTTGAGTGAGGTAGAACAAAGTCATTCCACGAGGGAGATGCATTGCCAATTAGAGATATCACATGACTTCTGCTTTTATTATAGAAAAAGCGCCTCCTCATTCTAATTTTTTCCCCAATAACGGGTTGAGAAATTTGTTTTATGCAAGAAGCTGGCTCACTATTTTAAAGTTTGATGCATTGCCTACCTGCAATGTTCTCATAGTTATTTTCTTATAATTAATTTCTTTCCCGCATGAAGCACAAAGTTCTTATCGTTATGGATGAAACAATATTACAATTATATTATATTACATTATATATATTTTGACCCAGGTGTGATATATATAGTTCAAAGATCTCCCTACTATAATGCTTTTACAAGAATTAAATTTTTGACCTTAGGATTCTATTCACCACTTTTAACCGCTTCGACGGACACAATTAGGTCAACATTTAATTTTCAATTATAGGCTAATCAATTTTTATAGATTTTTTTATTAGAAGAATATTTTCACATATTCAATTAGATTAAGTCCCTCATTAAATGATATTGAGTACTTTAATTTAATTATTTAAAAATTAACAAAACCAAATCTGTCCTAAAATAATATATTATTTCATGACAATAAAAATTATGATCTAAAGTGTTCTACTCAGTCAGAAAACTGATGAGTTAATGTGTCAACCGAACTAAGGTATTGGTATAAGAGGTATTATAACTCAAAGGTAATCGATCTAGAGTATACAATAAAAAATATATATGAAGGTGGTGATTTTGAGAATGTTAAATGATTAGAGAAGGCGAGAAAAAGTGTTATATGTGTAAATGACTAAGGTCTTGTAACGGGAAAAAACATGAGATGTGATTGTGTAATATTGTGGAAGGGATGACGTGGTGTGAGTGGATGATTATGTAGGTGTGCGTGTGCTCTAGGGAATTGTATATTTTGTGATGAGAGGTAGTTATTTTGTGAGGGTAAGGAAAGATTTTATGACAGAAACGTGTTGGATTTTAGTGGGAAATGAACCATGTGAATGACCAATGATTCAGTTTAAAATGGTGATTTTTTAATAATAACTTAATTTATTTAATACGACGAATATATTGAACATGCTTTGGTTAATTTAATCTCATGCTTTGGTTATGCGAAATTATTATCCGTCTCCATCGAACGGAACGGACCAATCTCTAAATGAAACCTGTCAGTTCTGAAATATTTATTTGGAGAATAAAAAAAATTTATTGTGGACCCCGTAAGTGATGTACATTTTTTTTAAAAATAAAAATAAAATATTTTGCATATAATAATAATATATCTCATACAAAAAAAATATTGTGGACAAGGTAGGCCACGAATAAGATTGAGTTAGGGAAAAACGACACCATGTCAGTTGTCACCAACTGTCTTTGAATCTATGGTTGGAACGCTATGCTTTGTCTTAACATGTATGTTTTGAGAATAATACCACTTTAATTATTGCATTTAAGTGCCTAACAAATATCTACATTTAAGAATATATTTATAGTACTTTAAAATAATACTCATAATGGTTTAAATATAATTTACATCTTATTATATACTATTTTATATTTGATCCAATGACATGTATTATTATATGTTATCGTGGGTGATGTTTTTAAAATACTTTCAGTATTACGTAATATTTTTCCTTTGAAGGTCGTGCATTTCTCAAACCACTCAATGTGGACAATATTGTGTTTTCAACAACCAGGATTTTTTTTAAAGATTTAAAGTCTCTATCTTCTATATATATATATATATATAGAAGAAAGTTATACGTACAATTTTTTTTTTTTTACAATCTCTTACAACCATATATCATAACTGTTGATTTCCGCCAATCAACGGTTGTCACTTATTATGAATTAATAATTAATTAATGAATTTAATTTGCGAAAATCATAACCGTTGATTGGCGAAAATCAATGGTTATGATATATGGTTGTAAGAAGTTGTATAAAAAAAGTTGAAACTATAACTTCTTATATATATATATATATATCTGTCTGTGTGTGTGGAGTCTATTTTTTTTCTCTCTTCTCTTCATGTGACCTCATATAAGCCTCATATACTTATATATATATATATATATATATATATATATATATATATATATAAAAGATAATTTTATCTCCTATAATATAAAAAGCATCAAATCCTTTTTTTTAATTAGTCACGATGTTCAAAATTTCAACAGACTATAATTAATAGTAATTTATAATTGTGTAAAATCATAATTTAAAATGAAATTAGTTATATTTTTTACCATTGAGAAAAATATTTATCCTTTTAAAGAAAAGGAGCGTTATACTTACAACCTAAAAGTTTTATAACCTCTTATAATTTATTTTTTTATCGTTGATTTTCGTCAATCTAATGATAATGATTTATCGGATCACATTTATTATAAATTTAATAAATAAGTTGTAAGAGGTTGTAAAATTTTTAAGTTGTAAATATAACGCACCTCTTTAAAGAACGGTCATTTTTAGGAATGTAAATAGGCTAGGTTAGACTAGACTAGACTTTGACTTAAATAGGCCAGTCCTGTGTAACAAATATTAGATCTGGCCTGGCCTGTTATACTATGTAGATCCCAAATTACAAATCTGGTTTGACCTATATTTAAAAAATAAAAGCTTTGGCCTTGGCTTTTTAGCCTATTTAAGCCTATTAAACATTCAACAATTAAAAGAATAACTAAAATAATATTATTTTATTATTCAAAATTATTAAAATAATAATTTTATTTAATTTATTTAAATTAAATAATATAATGTAGGCCAACCTATAGGCTTATGAGCCCAACATGTACAAAAAAAGCCTATGACCTATTTTCTAAATATATTTTTTTAAAAACCTAGGTACATTCTATTTAACTATTTATAATAGGTCAAGTCTGGCCTAATATAGACTAGGTCGTAGGCCCTTGTAGGTCGGCTTAACCCATTTATACCCTTAGTCATTTTAGCTAAAAGTAATATTTTTATTTAAAATTTAAATTAAAAAAACCTCTCACTCTCTTCCGCGTAATTTTCATTTTCTATTTGTTTCTTTCACGTTATTTAAAAAGATAAATATTAATTCCTTTAACATTTTAATTTACTAATATTAAAAAAAATTATTGTAAATTAGTTGACCTAGCTTTCAATTTTTTTTGTCAATGGACTTGTCTCTTTTTTTTCGCTTTTAATTAGGTATTTTTTGAATCATTGTTTCTATAAATTATTTTTAAAATGGACTGATTCAATTTTAAGAGTTTTAAATGAACTATGAATGTCTTAAATATAATCTCACATATATCTATATATAAGTAAGCTATATGATATATCTGTAATAAGCTTATAATTCTTAATAATCTTCCTTTTGAACGGAGGTCATCTCCTCCTCCGTTCTCCGGCAACCACACTTTCTCATCACTGTTTCTGATTCTCTGGTACTATACTCTCTGCTTTCTCCCTTTGTGTCTATGGATGTCAACGTCATCTTCAATAATGTGTCTCACAATTTGTAATCTCACAATCTTTCTTATCTTCAGCTTTCAATCTCTTCTTTAACTGTTCGTGTATTGATATTTGTTCCTTCTGGATTCAAAGCGACGAACTAATCCTTATTATCGTATCTAAGCATGATTTCTCAATTGTTTGGGAACTTTGATGAGATAATATATATGCTTGTTTTAAGAGTTTGGAATGCCAAGTATTCTTTAACTATGCAATAATGTAAGGACTAAGAAGCTTCATTTGTTTAGGATTTTTGTTATTATTAGTCTTCTCTTGTTCTTTAGGATTCCTCAACCAACTACCTCTGTCTTGTGTACTATATTGCTTTATTTGCTTCTTCTTCTTCTTTTTAATGTTAAATAGACCAAATGTTCCCATCATGAGAAGTATTGTGACTTTTTCTTTCTAATTTGTTATCCTTCAGTGAGATTTTGTGTTACTATTTCTTTTAGTTATGGTGTCTATTTAATTGCTTTCTGTTCTCTAAATTAAGACTATGATTGTATGTTGTGATCTCCCAATGATTATTATTTTTATTTCTTTTGGTAATTTGTGGCTTGCCAAATTTAGTGAAGAAAATATTGTGTTTAGTCAACTTGCTTTAGAACAAAACTTGTTTCTTTATATACTTTTAGTAAGTTCTTGGATTCTTGGCATTCTGTGTTTCTTCCCCTCTCTTTTTAATGGAAAAAATAGAACACATATATACTCTTTCTTGAGTAATAAGTAATAACATATGACTGACCCCTCTTCTCCAGTCTCAGGATAAAGAGTTTCAAGGGTGAATCTCTTGGTAAGAATGAATCCCTATATGCAAACCTTCTTCTCTTGTAGCTGTTGAGAATTCGGGATACTTAAACTTCTTTAAGCAATTCTTCCTTTTGGTAATTATGCATGTCTGGCCCTGTGGCCACAGTTGATTATTTGGTTGGAGGAGCACTTTCTTGTGCAGAGAGAACAAAATCTCTTGATGTCATTTATGGATCAGACCATCTATCTATATTGACAAATGGTGGAGCTGTTCATTCCTCGGAAATTGATGGCTTTAGTGTTGGAGAAATCTTGCTTTCTAATGGAGAATCATATTCTGGGACCCTATTTGGAAATATTCCGGAGGGCCAGGGAACGTACGTCTGGTCTGATAGTTGCATGTATGAGGGTGAGTGGAGAAGGGGGATGAGAAATGGGAATGGAAAAATAAGATGGCCTTCTGGAGCGGTGTATGAGGGGGAATTCTCTGGTGGCTATATCCATGGTACAGGAACATATATTGGTTCTGATAATTTGACCTATAAAGGTAGGTGGCGATTGAATCTTAAACATGGTTTGGGTTATCAGGTTTATCCTAATGGAGATATCTTTGAAGGCTCTTGGATGCAAGGAACACCAGAGGGGCCTGGAAAGTATACTTGGGCCAATGGAAATGGATATTTAGGGAATATGAAAGGTGGGAAAATGTCAGGAAAAGGAACTCTCACCTGGATAAATGGAGACTCATATGAGGGAAGCTGGTTAAATGGCATGATACATGGGTTTGGAGCTTATACATGGAGTGATGGAGGCTGCTATGTTGGGACTTGGACATGCGGTCTAAAAGATGGCAAAGGAACCTTTTATCCAAAAGGCAGCCATCTTCCATCTGTACAAGAAATCTACCTCAATGCCATGAGAAAAAGAGGGTTATTGCCAGATTTGAGAAAGCAGAACCAGGTGAGAGATGTCAAGGTTGGTGCAAACCAGAGAGTAAGTCGTGTTTCATCTGATAAACTTGCAAATGAGAACCTGTTAAATCTGGAACAGTCTAGTAGAAGAAATGTTTCTCTTGAAAGGCGTTGGAGTCTTGAGGTATCTATTGAGAAAGTGATCGGGCATGATTCAACATTGGGTTTAACAGAATCTGTACCTGGAAGCAGAGATAAAGAGATTAATCCAAAGATCCCAATTTTGGAACGAGAGTACATGCAAGGTGTATTAATAAGTGAGCTAGTGTTAAATAATGACATGTTTTCATCAATGTCTAGAAGGGCAAGACGACTTCAAAAAAAGCTTGTTAAAGAGATTAAAAGACCTGGTGAAGTAATCATTAAAGGTCACAGGAGTTATGATCTGATGCTCAGTTTGCAGCTTGGAATAAGGTAAATGGATCTATTTTGACTTGAAGCACAAACAAGCTGCTTGAGTTGTTATCATTTGTTATAATGCTATTTTATTTTTTCTATGAGAGTATATGCATGCTTCTATATTTATTCTAATGAACATGCTAACATTTCAAGATGAATTCATGTTGGAAGGTACTAAAAAAGTCATAAAATCACAACTAGGATTTTGATATGGTTGATGGTTTTATTCATTAATCATATTAAAGGTCATGTTCCTTTTCCCTTATAGGAAATTTATTTTCTTGTTCCTATGGACCAAAAGTAGAGATTAAAGAACTGAGGTATACGGCTCCAATAGAGATCTGGGATTCACATGACAACTGTAAGATATTTCAGCTTCATTCAACAAAAATTTGCCTCTCGCTTGTGTTCCACAATTCTTACAGTGGATCTTAGATAGCTTATCTTGTTTTCTTACTCAAATTTGGAGATTAGGGTGTCATGAGGTCACCATGAACTATGAATTTAAGGCACAAAATCCACCTAAATTTAGAAGCTAAAATGCTGTTCAGGAGTATCCATATTTGCTATTGCATGGATTTCCTTAATAATGTAAACACGTTCTTCAAAATGGTTAGGTATACTGTGGGCAAGATTACGCCCATACAGAGGCGAGAAGTTCGGGCATCAGATTTTGGTTCCAAAGCAAGCTTTTGGATGAATTTTCCTAAAGAAGGTTCTCAATTGACACCTCCTCATCAATCAGAGGATTTTAAATGGAAAGATTACTGCCCAATGTTGTTCAGGTTAGTAGTTAACGTTCATTTTAGTATTATTTGTTTCTTTCATGTGGCCTTTGTATCATTCGTATTTTGACTAGGCGTGCATATAAATCTATCCTAGTTTTTTAAAGTAGCTCTGTTGGTAGAATTAAGTGGTTGTTACTGGTTTATTGTATGCTGAAAACTACAAGATATGTATATAATATTCATTGCTCCAGCACCTGCTACAATAAATCACTCGTGTTGGAAATGTCGTGATTAATCACACACAGTCAAAAGGAAACCAAGAAAAGAAAAAGAGACATGGTTTTACCATGTTTCACCTAGTGTAGGGCTATGTCGTCCAACAATGTGTTTTTACTAAATTCACCTCACAACCTTAACCCTTAGCCGTAGTAGCTATTTATTGGCCTAAACCCAAACTATCAGATGGCCCCAAGAAAATCATGTGTCTCGAATCTTGCATAATGAATCCTATGCACATCCATGCCAAATTATTACAATGCCTTGATATCATGAATAGAAGCATGAAATAATTCTTCACTCCCAACCCTTAATCGTGTGATTGTTAATTAAACCAAGTGGATTAGATGTTAAATCCTTGCTTCAACTTCAGAATATTTTGAATTGTTCTGTTGAGGTCTAAAGTTTCATTAGGCTGCAATTTTAATCTGAGCATATCACCAGTTGTTGGGTTGTGCTTTGACTTGTATAGGATATCTGAAGTTGACAATTTTTTTATCTGTATAAGATCATAATGCATTCTTATTCTTCATGAATATGAACGAAAAGGGGGGGGGGGGGGGGGGGGGGACCGAAAAGTACTTGTTAATTATGGAAGTTTACCTTCCATGCTTGACAATTATGTACGTATATATGATAATGGGCAGTTGTTACAGTTCATCTCTCTCTTTCTTCTCTTTCTTCCTTTCTTTTTTCATATGTTTGTTGGATATGACATTCTAAAGACTTATTTCAGAAATTTAAGAGAGCTGTTCAAGATTGATGCTGCTGATTACATGATTTCCATTTGTGGAAACGATGCTCTGCGAGAACTATCTTCTCCAGGGAAAAGTGGTTGTGTCTTTTTCCTGTCTCAGGACGATCGTTTCATGATCAAGACACTGCGAAGATCTGAAGTCAAGGTGCGTTCACATACATGTTTCATGTAGGACCAATAGAAAGTGGAAGGTGAACCTTCATGGGCATTCTGCGTCAAATAACATTATGTATTTTAATAACATTTGTCATGTTTGAGGTCAATCTCTCCTTTCTTATATCCTAAGCAGATCCTATATTGTACTCACAACAAATTGAAGCTAACAATTTATTTATAGAAATTCAGGATGGAATTTCAGCAATAAAGGAAAGAGAGAAAGTTTAATTTTGATAAGTTCTCTCAATAAATTATGAACCAAAAGCTACTTACAATCCTGAAGCACTTTCCACCAGTGACATTTCTGTCCTTTAATATTAGACTGAGTAGGTTTTCTAATACTGACTGGTAATGATCGAGTCCTGATCCATGTCATGGATTGACAATTTATTATAAGTGTAAAGAACCTTGGGATACACCACTCCAAAAACTAGCTCAAAGGGTGGGAGTGTCCAAGACCTTATAAACTCCACATTAGTTGCACATACAACCACCAATGTGGGACTATATATCTCAACACGACCCCTCACACGAGAGCCCTTTGGACTTGAAGCGTGGACAATGCAACAGGCCCAGCCTACCTGTGCTAAGAAACTCCACAAGAGAAAGTGGGGGACGGCGAGGCTCTGATACCATGTAAAAAACCTTGGGATAAAGTATGAGACCCAACGTCATGCTCCCCCTTAAAGGCAACTTCTGCGGAAGTCTTTTTTCTTTAAGTAATGGAGTCACACTAGCCTTCTGCGGAGGCCTTGAAACATCACCATCTCTAAATACCCGGCCCAGCCAAACCTTTGGCTTTGATACCACTGTTGGGAATGGTATGGGGGAGCCCAAAACCCATTGCAAGGGATACATCCATGGGCCAAGCGATAAATCACAATAAGTGGGCCGACACCACATTTTAACCCAAAACCTTAAGGCTTTGGGTTCATGGGTCCTTTCACTTATATACTCTTCACTTAGCTCATTACCAACCAATGTGGGACTCATCACACTTGAATATCGATACCATGTAAAGAACCTTGGGATACACCACCCCAAAAGCTAGCTCAAAGGGTGGGAGTGCTCAAGACCTTATAAACTCCACATTAGTTGCACATACAACCAATGTGAGACTATATATCTCAACACGTCCCCTCACACGAGAACCCATTGGGCTTGAAGAGTGGACAATGCAACAGGCCCAACCTACCTGTGCTAAGAAACGCCACAAGAGAAAGTGGGGGGCGGCGAGGCTCTGATACCACTGTTGGGAATGGTATGGGGGAGCCCAAAACCCATTGCAAGGGATACATCCATGGGCCAAGCGATAAATCACAATAAGTGGGCCAACACCACAATAAGCTTGCCCTTAAAGCTTCATCCAGACCAGTAAGCTGCCATAGCCTTATAAGACTTAATAGTATATATGAAGCCATGGACTTATAATGCACAATCTCTAGTTGGTATGCCAAAGCTTGCAATTAAACAGATTGAGAACCTGTCCTCCCCCCTTTGTGTAAAATAGCTTTCATAATCTCAACATAATAATTTTTTTCATTTAAAGTTCACAGGTTCCATGACAAATTCTAATCATCTGTTTAGATTTCATATATCGTGCTTGGATAGTTTATATAACTAAATTATAAACATAATCTAAATCATCCATCATGCTTATGTACAAATGGCGACTTTCCTTAAAATGATTTTTTGTGTGTTAGATGAACAAAGGTTACCATAGAAGCAGGGAGGCCAAAATAATTTTTTGTCAATGTGCGGATTTTGCAGTGATATTTTTGGTTGAAGAGGAATGCATACATTTTTCAAAGGCATCTCTTTGCCCCTAGATTTTCTCTTGTATGAATTTTTTTTTTTACAGTTTCTCTGCCTCTCTGATGGCTGTTTTGAGGGAGTTCCCATTCTTGTGTAAAGAGGACAGGAAATTTTGCTGCATTATTTGATTATATATATATATATATATTTATGGGTAAAGATCATTTTATACCAGTGTGATCAAAATTAATGGCCAAAATTTGGTGTAAATTTTTTTATTCTTACACTGGTATAAGAATAACCTACCCCTCTCTCTCTCTATATATATATATATGTATATATATATAGGTTTAACATTTCTGCTTTTGCTACAGGAATATTGTTTTGTGCCACACCCACATAAAAGTGGGGTAGAAAAAATATTTTTGTAACAAAAGAAAAAAATATTTTTTTCATATATTATATTGCACGTTGTTTTCTCTTTTTAGTGTAAGAGGATGTCTGATCCTCCCCTTAACTGTGCTTTCCCTCCTTTATCTCTGAAAAAACATTTTCCAATCCACCAAAAGAAAAAGGAAATTCAGCTATTAGCCATTACTTACCGAAGCCACTTGCCGTATTAATGTTTAGAAATGATATCTTAGTATTTACCTGTTATTTTCTACTTGCTTTTCAGTATGAAATGCAAATTCCATTGACCAAAATTTGACATGTAGGTGCTTCTAAGAATGCTTCCAGACTATCATCATCATGTAAAGTCATATGAAAATACACTCATCACAAAATTTTTTGGCCTGCACAGGATTAAACCTTCAAGTGGTCAAAAGGTAATGTGCATATTGCCATACAGCATTCATTTTCTGTATCAATTAAGGATGGCATGATATGCACCTTATCTGAAAATTATGTACGGAGATTATCATAAAGTAAATTCACCACATCAAATATTTGATTCTATCATAACTTGCGTCCTTCATACAAAAATGACTTAAAAATATACATTTCCACAAATAGGAGGATAATATTTGTATATAATTTTCTGTCTTGCAGTTTCGCTTTGTTGTAATGGGAAATATGTTCTGCACAGAATTAAGGATCCATCGGAGATTTGATTTAAAAGGTTCATCCCTTGGACGGTCATCAGACAAGATAGAAATTGATGAGAATACCACGCTTAAAGATTTGGATCTGAACTACTGCTTCTACTTGGAACCGTCTTGGCGTGAGTCCTTATTAAAGTGAGTGGTAGTTACAAAGGAATGAATCTTCTTTAATCTGGCATTTGGCTTTAAGTGATAAAAGAAGAAATTTTATTAAAAGGAATATGAAGAAAAGGGAGATAAGATATTATTCTTAGACAAAGTAACAAAGAACAGAAAAGCAAATTGAAGCAAATGTGTATATTTTTTGTTTAGCATATCAGGGTTTGTGAAGTATGCAGCAGAACCCTTAGAACATTTTTCGGTACTGTATGCTATGAATATGTAAATATTGGTGGGGTGATAATCTCCCCCCCACCCACAACAACAAAAAAAGTTCTTATTAAAAATAGTAAATGCTAATGTTTGTTTTAATGCTTAAATATAGTAAATTCATAATATCTCAAGCTTGCAGCCTGCTTAAATGTAAGTCCTATTTCTCTAATGCGCTGCAAAAATTGTATATTTCCTCTTACTCATACTTTTGTGCAGGCAGATCCAAATAGACAGCAAGTTTTTGGAAGCACAGCACATTATGGATTACAGCCTTCTTCTAGGTGTCCATTATCGAGCTCCCCGGCAATCGCATCCTCTCTTGTCATACAACCAAAGTGTGGATGGGTTAGCAATGCTTGCAGAGGAAGGTGGGTACCAAATCCTACCTGGTAAAATAAATAATTTGTAGTTGGCCGGTAGGTGATTGATGCTTTTTTTCTGGCAAGTATTTATAATTAAATTGACATTCCTTTGGTTAATAGTCTGTGTAAAGAACCTTGAGGTCACCACTCCAAAAGCTAGCTCAAAGGGGGGAGTGCCCAAGACCTTATAAACTCTACATTAGTTGCACATACAACCAATGTGAGACTATATATCTCAACACGCCCCCTCACACAAGAGCCCATTGGGCTTGAAGAGTGGACAAAGCAACAGGCCCAACCTACCTGTGCTAAGAAACGCCACAAGAGAAAGTGGGGGGCGGCGAGGCTCTGATACCATGTAAAGAACCAATTCAACCGAAAAGCTTAAGCTATTGGATGAGGCTACATTAATGGTTTTATATATCTCAACACGCCCCCTCACACGAGAGCCCACTGGACTTGAAGGGTGGACAATGCACAGGCCCACCTACCTATGCGAAGAAAGAAATTCCACTTGAAAGAAAGTGGGGGCGGTGAGGATCGAACCCGGTACACCGAGGCTCTAAGATTGTGGACAAAACAAGTAGAACCAAAGATGTGAGGAGTGAGTGGGTACAAAGGTTGATGGGGAAACAACACAGAATGTGGTACCTGATTATGAAGTACGGAGGGAGGCATCCGATTAATGAGATAACAAGCTGTGAGGACAGCATCGCCCCAATACTAGAATGGGATATGACCATGTAACAAAAGTGTCCGAGTAGTCTCAATTAGGTGACGGTTCTTGCGTTCAGCAACCCTATTTTGTTGAGGGGTGTGTGAACATGATGTCTGGTGAAGGATGTCGTGAGATGCAAAGAAGGTTTGAAACTGATGAGACAAATATTCACGAGCATTATCACTTCAAAAAATGCAAATCGAAACACCAAATTGAGTAAGGATTTCATTAAAGAACTTGTTAAAAATAGAAAACAATTTAGACCGATTTTTCATTAAAAATAGCCAAGTACATCGAGAATAATCATCAATGAAAGTTACAAAATATTTGTACCCCATAGTGGAAACAGTTTGACTAGAACCCCAAATATCTGAATGAACTAAAGCAAAAGGAGACGAAGACCGACGACTGACACGATCGGGAAACGAACTACGAGTGTGCTTCCCTAACTGACACGACTCACAAGACAAACTAGATAAATTTGAGAAACGTGGGACCATCTTCTGGAGCTTAGCTAGATTTGGATGACCCAACTGAGCGTGGATAGTAAGCGGAGAATCCACAACAGAGCACACTGGAACAGAAGTTGAAAGCTGATAAAGGCCATTGGACTCAGATCCGACGCCAAGTGTCCTCCTCGAGCTCCGATCCTGCTAAATGACAGACTCTTTAGTGAAAGAAATAATAACTTGAAAAAGGTATTCTGATATATTATAGAATTGTAAATAATCTGTACAAAGGGTTCTCTATTTATAGAGAATACTTGACCTAATTTTGACCTAATGGGCTTGGCCCAATACAACAAATAAATGACTAAATAATAACTAAATAATTATTATTTACAACACTCCCCCTCAAGCTGAGGAATAGATATTTATCATTCTCAGCTTGCTAGTAAGCTCTTGAAATCTGTCTGAAGAAAGTCCCTTTGTCAATACATCAGCTAATTGACGCCCAGTGGGAATGTATGGAGTGGTAATCAACCCGCTATCAAGTTTGTCTTTGATGAAATGGCGGTCGACCTCAATATGTTTAGTCCGATCATGTTGAACTGGATTATGAGCTATACAAATAGCGGACTTATTATCACATAGCAGCTTCATAGGTCCCTCACATTTTATTTTGAGGTCATCAGTACAATTTTTAGCCACAGTAACTCACAAATGCCTTGAGCCATAGCTCGAAATTCAGCTTTTGCACTTGATCTGGCAACCACATCTTGTTTCTTACTTCTTCATGTCACCAAGTTACCACAAAGAAACATACAATAACCAGTGGTAGAACAACGGTCAGTCACAGATCCAGCATAATCAGCATCAGTGTAGACTTCTAAAGAGAGATGGCCATCACGCCGGAATAATAATCCTTTACCAGGAGTAACTTTAAGATACTAAAGAATTCTCTCCACTGCCTGCATGTGTTTCTCCTTTGGATTGTGCATAAACTGACTGACAACACTAACAGCATAAGCTAGGTCTGGTCTAGTATGAGCCAAATATATCAATTTCCCAACTAGCCGTTGATATTGTCCTTTATCAACTGGAGGACTCTCCTCTTCATAGCCTATCCTGTGATTCTGCTCAATAGGAGTATTAGAGGGTTTACACCCGAGCTTTCCTGCTTCCTTGAGAAGATCAAGAACATATTTCCTCTGGCTGATAAAAATTTCTTTTTTTGAATGAGCTACTTCTATCCCTAGGAAATATCTCAGTTTCCCAAGGTCTTTAATTTCAAACTCAGATGCTAGTCTTGCTTGCAGAATATGTCTCTCCACAAAATCATCACCTGTGATAATAATATCATCAACATATACAAGGAGCACAGTGAGCTTCCCATCTTGGGAGTGCTTAAAGAAAAGAGTGTGATCTCCTTGACTTTGTTTGTATCCTAAAGTCATCATAACCTTAGTAAATCTTCCAAACCAGGCACGAGGTGACTGCTTCAATCCATACAAGGCCTTTTTTAATCTACAAACTTTATTTTCTCCATTCACAGAATCAAAACCAGGAGGGATTTCCATGTAGACTTCTTCTTCTAACTCACCATTAAGGAAAGCATTCTTCACATCAAATTGATTTATATCCCAATTGTAATGAGCAGCAAGGGATAACAAGACTCTCACCGTATTCATCTTTGCAACTGGAGCAAAGGTTTCTTCATAATCAATGCCATAGGTCTGAGTGTAACCCTTGGCGACTAATCGAGCCTTGTATCTCTCAAGAGTGCTATCAGAATTATGCTTTAGGGCATAAACCCATCTGCACCCTACTGCTTTCTTTCCATTGGGTCTATCAATAACCTCCCATGTTTTATTTTTCTCCAATGCATTCATTTCCTCTTGCATGGCTTGAGCCCAATTCTCATCTTTCAATGCTTCATGTACTGATTTTGGGATTGAAATAGAATCCAGTGCTGAAACAAAGCTTTTGTGCTGCACAGAAAGATTAGTAGAAGAAACAAAATGGGAGATAGGATATTGAGTACAAGATCTTTTCCCTTTTCTTAGGGCAATAGGTAAGTTATCAGAAGCAGAAGCAATGGGTAAGTCATCAGAGGTATCAGAAGAAATAGGCAAATCATGAGAGGCAATAATATTAGAATCAGAAACAGGAAATTCAGGACTTATCAGTGGTTCAGACGATTGGGGTTGCTGGTGAGACAATATGGGTTGTTTCCTCCTCTGATATACCAATTCAGGTGTCAAAATCTTTCGTATCTCAGGTGTATTTGAAGGTTCTGACACACCAGGAGCAGACACACTAGGAAGAGGTGTAGGAGTAGACAAGGACGATCCAGACTCAAAGAAGGAAGGGGATGAGTCTTCTGAAGAACTGTTCTCCCCCTGAAGATGAAGACCCAGGAAATAAGATTCAGATTCTTGAAAGGTGACATCCATAGAAACAAAAAAATTTCGACTTGGTGGATGATAACACTTGTACCCTTTTTTATAAGGGGTATAACCAAGGAAGACACACTTAAGAGCCCTAGGATCCAACTTACTCCGATGTTGTTTATGAACATGGACAAAGGCAACACAGCCAAACACTCTTGGTGGAAGGCTCTGCAATATGGGAACAGAAGGAAAGAAGGAAGTCATGGAATGAATAGGACTGATATTGTTAAGGACCCGTGAAGGTAAACGGTTGATCAAAAAGGTTGCAGCAAACACGGCTTCTCCCCAATAAGAACTAGGAACAGATGTCTGGAAAAGTAGTGCTCTAGCAACTTCAAGGAGGTGACGATTTTTCCTTTCAGCAACCCCGTTTTGTTGAGGGGTATCAACACATGTGAGCTCATGAATCATACCTCTGGCTGAAATGAATTTTGACAGGCGTTGGTTGACGTACTCAGTACCATTATCAGATCTTAGTCTTTTAATACACTTACCAAACTGAGTCTTAACCATGTGATGAAACCGAATAAATATCTCTGGTACTTCAGACTTGTCTTTCATCAAGTATATCCATGTTACCTGAGTACAATCGTCAATAAAAAAACAAACCACCTTGCACCTGAAACACTATGCACTTTAGAAGGGCCCCAAACATCAGAATGGATAAGAGAAAAAGGTTCGCTGCTTTTAATAGTGCTAGAAGGAAATGACACTCTGGTGTTTTGCAAATTCACAAACATCACAATGAAAGGTCTCAACCGACTGATTGAGAAACAGAGAAGGGAACATAGACTTCAATAGACTAAATGGTGGATGTCCCAGACGCTTGTGATGGAGCCAAATCATAGACTCTGCAGTAGAAGGATGACGTGTCATTAATAACTGATTTTTGCTATCATTTATAGCATGTTTTGGAAGGAGATGATACAACCCATTCTGTTCATTAGCCACTCCAATTGTCTTCTTCGTGGTAAGATCCTGAATAACACAATGAGAAGGAAAAAATGTGATAGAACAATTCAAATCAGTTGTAAGTTTTTGAGTGGAGATAAGATTAGTAGAAAGCTGAGGAACATAAAGAACATTCTTAAGAAACAAGGAAGGTTGAATTTGAATGTTACCAGAACCAATAACTGATTTATGGGATCCATCAGCTACAGATATAGTATGACTACCAACAGTAGGATGCTAAGAACAAAACAACTCAATACGACAAGCCATATGATCAGTTGCACCAGAATCCAAAATCCATGAGGTTTTAAAATCAGTGCAAGAAGCAAGAAGAGATGTAGAACATGTGTTCTTACCAGATAAGATCAAAGAACGGTCATATGGCTTACACATATTATCAATAGCAGGTTTAAGCTGATCTATGGAGAGGAGACAAAAAACAAGCAGGAAAAGTTTTTTTTTTTTTGTGTGAACAGTACCGCGTGAACAGTACCCGATGAACAGTACCGCGTGAACAGTGCCGCGTTTTTTTTTTTTTTTTTTTGAGCTGTTTCAGTCGTCTGATGAAAAAGAAACCTCCGTAGAATGATAGATCTAAGAAAACGGAGTGAAACAGAGGTCCAAAAGGTCCCCGAAATTTATTTTTTTTCCGGCGGCGGCTTTGTGGCGGCGAGAGGCAAATAGGGTTGGTTTTTAAAGATGGTGATTTGCGAAAGCAGAACCCTCAGACTCGAGAACTCTGATACCAACTTGAAAAAGGTATTCTGATATATTATAGAATTGTAAATAATCTGTACAAAGGATTCTCTATTTATAGAGAATACTTGACCTAATTTTGACCTAATGGGCTTGGCCCAATACAACAAATAAATGACTAAATAATAACTAAATAATTATTATTTACAACATAATACAGTCAAGGGATTGAGTCAAGCGACTAATGGAAATAAGGTTGAAAGGAGAATGAGGAACATAAAGCACATTCTCAATAGGAATAGAAGGAAAAAGGAGAACAGTGCCAATCCCTTGGGACTGAACCAGTGACCCATTAGCCATAGTGATATTGGGCAGGGGACCAGACGTACAGAGAGAGGTAAATAAAGACTTATTACCAGAAATACGGTCAGATGCACCAGAATCGAGAATCCATGGACCAAGAGAGGGCAAGTGAGAAACATCAGCAAAGGAATTACCCGTGTATGTACCAGAGGCAGTGGTACCAGGAGGACGCTTCCCTTCATACCATTGCAAGAAGTCAGTGAGAACAGACGGAGGTGGCTGTGATCCAGCAATCAAGGCAGAGTCCGAGGCAGGAACAGTAGTCTGAGCAAAATGAGCATGAAGAACGTGTTGCGTTGCTCAAGTTCTTTAGTAGGATCTGTAGCAGGCGGCAACAGTTCATTGAAATCATGAAGGAGGCCCTGAACTTTTCCCAAGTAAGCAGACATAGAGACATCAAGTTGTTGAGCAGCAATAGTAGTGATCAAAGTTTGACAAACCCCATAGAGTCGCTGAGTGTCATTGGTATAAAGTGACTTGGCCTGACGCCAAACAGACTCACAAGTGACGTGAGCACGAAAAATCTGCTTCAAGGACGAGTGGATGGTAGACTTGATGATGCTATATAACTGAGCATCAACCTTTTTCCAATCCGTACATCTACCGAGATGGACTCAGCCTTAGTAATGAGATGGTCAGTGTAGTCCTGTCCATCAAGCCAAAGTCGGAGATCAGAAGCCCAAGAATTATAATTGGAGCCATCCAACTTGTCGACGTGCAGCGGAACATTAACATAATTAGAAAAAACAGGCGGGTCAGCCTTTTGAGAACCCTTGGATGCATCGTGGGGTGACAAATCAGCCATAGATCACCTGAAACAAAAACGAACAGCAACCAAAAGCAAAGAAACACGCGTGAATAGTGACCAGCAAGGGAAAGAGACACTGTCGGAAGCCGAAACGAAGTCAGAACAAAAAAGTGAGGACAGATCCAGGTGCGCAAAGAGAAGACGAGTTGAACCGTGGTGGTCGGAGGTCCAGCCGGAGCTGCACGCGCCGCTGCAATGAAGCGGACGACAGCAGCTTCCTCCCGCGCGTGTGGGCGCGTGGCTGAGGTGTTGGAGATGGGTGTTGGACAGACAGGACTGCCTTGTTGTGGCGGTCAGATCGATGGGAGTTTCGCCGGAAAAGTCGTCGGAGTCGGTGGTCAACGACGGTCAACGGTGGCGGGCGGCGGTCAACGGTGGTTTTGGACAGCGGCAGTGCTCAGACAAGGTCGGAAACAAAATAGGGAAGCCGGAAACTGACAGATGTGACGGTTTCCGGAAAAAAAAAATATATATATATATTACTCAGCGGACAATGGTCCACCGAAAAACCGCGGATTAGGATTTCTCTTGTTAGGCTCTAGATACCATGTAAAGAACCTTGAAGTCACCACCTCAAAAGCTAGTTCAAAGGGTGGGAGTGTCAAGACCTTATAAACTCTACATTAGTTGCACATACAACCAATGTAGACTATACATCTCAGCAGTCTGCATACATCAAAGCATGAAAACTCGTAACTTGAATGCATCAATCTCATGCCCCTCCCCCCCAACTCTTGATGTATGAGCAGTATTTCTGAAATCTATGAGCAGTAGTTCTGAAAACATGTTTTTTTTTTTTTTTTTTTTTGAAAAAGAACCTAGTTTGTCTGAATATGCAAATAATTGAGACTGTAGACTATCGGTTTTAGTAGACTGTGCTTAAAGCTTTTTTAGAAGTCGTTATTATGAGCCATTTTAGAGGGTCTTATAGTTTATCTGGAATTTTGTCCATCATTATGCATTCAGATTTTATTTTTTCTAATTTGTAGTAATTCTCATATTACCTGAATCTGTTCTCTTGTCTATGACTTATATTCTTACTTTTTCAAGTTGAATTATAAACATGAACTGATTAATTTAAAAACTTCGATAACATGACTTGATAGACCCTCTGGAGGATGAAGTATCCAACTATCCACAAGGCCTTGTTCTGGTTCCTCGAGGAGCAGATGACAATAGTGTTGTTGTGGGTCCACACATGAGGGGTAGCCGGTTGCGAGCTTCTTCTGCTGGTGATGAGGAGGTGGATCTACTTCTACCTGGTACAGCAAGGTGTAGTTTCTTGATGATTTTGATGATCTTATTAATTCTTTGAACTTCATCATAGTGCTCATGCTATCCTATTAGTATGTCCGATCGGTGCATTTCATTTGGCAGAAAAATTGCATTTTAAAATTCATAATCACTTATATGTTCATGTGCATTCCTGTATTAATTCAACCTAATTCTTGTTAAACCCTCCGAATGTTATGTGTGGAAACTGGAAATGTTTTTGAAAGGACGGGGGGAAGTGACCCATTACTTTCAAGTTGGGAAGAAAGAGAATATATGATGTGCTTTGCCACAAAATGAAGCATTGCAATGGTTAACCTTTCCTGTTCACTTGGTGACTGCAATCTTGATGAATCATAAAATTCCATCATATTCATTGCACATGGTTGCATTTCAATTTTCTTTAAAAGAGCTTAATGGTAGAATGATGACTCCCAGATTATTTCTACATGCTAGACTGGAGCCATCCATATGAAGACCATATATTTAATAATTCAGGCATTTCATTCAGGATCTTAATGTTTAAAATTGTTCCTTTACACAACAATTGCAGCCTGAGGATTTTTTTTCTTTCTTTACCACATGTTAAGCAGACTCCAAATCCAGCTAGGTGTGAACATGCCATCAAGGGCAGAGCAGATTCCAGGAAAACAAGAAAAGCAAGTGTTCCATGAGGTGTACGATGTCGTACTGTACCTGGGTATCATTGACATATTGCAAGACTACAACATGACCAAGAAGATCGAACATGCTTATAAATCTCGTCAGTTTGATTCGTTGTCTATCTCAGCTGTGGACCCTGGGTTCTATTCTCATCGCTTCCTGGAATTTATTCAGAAAGTGTTTCCACCAAATGCAATGGCAGGTTAAAGTTATAGGATTAAATTTAGCCTGTTAGTTTGTTCAGAAAGGGTGAACATTGCCACCTTTTATGCTTGCTCCAGAAGTTCTATTTAGTAGGTGGCCACATGGGCACCTTGGTAATAGTAGGAATCAAGTGTCATCTGGTATTGTAAATAATCTTAGATAAATTACACAAATATATGCTTTGAATTTATAATCATTAGGTGGATGATATGGGTTTATTATCTCTTATTGAGGCCAAATGTTTTTCAAGCCTGAGTTTTTCCACCCTTTACTTACATTCTTCCCATCACATCTAAAATTGATTTTTGGCTACAATTTATCTGCAAAAGCTAAAGCAACTTAATACGATATGGAAATAGGTTACGAATTACGATAGGCTATGGTTTGTCCAAATAGGCTTAAACTTGTTTTGCGAAGCAAGGGTATGAGCCCACTTTATTATTTTTAATAGAGCTTTTTGGGTTTGACCAAGTCTATTTGTGAAAAGCATAAGGCAAAGCTAATTTAAAAACTTATATTACGTGAAGATATTTAAAATCTTCAAATAATCCCCTTAATATAGACATTTTCAAGGTATTAATGCATCATTTTTTTCATTTAATTTTTTTTTTAAATTAAAAGAATTATTACTGTTATTTTTGCCTTCACTACTCTTCCTTCACAAGCATAATTTATGTGCGTTAATGACTTATTACTGTTATTAAACAGCTTGAGTGAATCCCTTATAAATTAAAAACTAAAGAAATTATGAATTTTCTGAGACAATAATAGTAATCATAATAATTGTTCCATATCACTACCATTGTTTTACCTTAAAAGCAAGTTGGAGGGAGCGTCTTTGCCCTCGCAAATAAGGAAAATATTTTCCGTATTACCGTAGTCCCAAAAACTTAGGGGATTACTTATTAAAATTGATAAAAGTAATTCACTAAATTAATTTATTTTATTTATCCTTCTATAATTAATGTAACACGAGTTTATTTTTTTTTCTTTCTATTTTTAATAAAAAAATAGATACTCTCACTGGCAATTGAGTAGCGCACTAGGCCAAATTACAGAGTGTGGGGCCAAGTAATTGCCCACGTAATTTTGTAAAGTGTGGCAAAGCATGCATTCATAGCTGCCAAGATCATTGCGCATGAAATAAGGATCTTTGGTCAGATCAACGGTCTTCAGGGCCAGACGCCGAATAGATAAAACAAGTGATTTCATGTTCTAATGTTAACGTTGATAAACCAGAAGACATAAAGAATATGTAATAAATAATCCCATTCTCATGTAGTAATAAAACTATAGAAGAGACTAGAGAGGAGGATTGGGGCGAATAAATGCATAGCAATATTAGGCAACTCATACAATCATATACCGACGATGGACATAATAACACAGCCATCAAAACATGGGGTATCACTTAATAAATAGAATTTTTGCCACGAGACTTTTCTAGTTGTAGCAAGCTGTAGTGGACCATCATTATGAGCTTCCATTGCCTTTTCTTAAAAACTACAATAAATAAATAAATAAAACTAACAATGGAAGTTTCCAGTGGAATGAATTTTGGTGCTACTGTTCTACCAAAAATTCAGTCATCCCATCAATGGAAACTTATGTGAGCCAAAATTCTCTTTTCTCTGCCAAATTTTTTCTCTCTCCTTTAATATGTAATATTCTCATTGGTAGGATGCACTGAATCTAGATGTAACAGATGCACCTAAGATTTATTCCCCTCAGTGATGATTCCTTCGAAATTACTTACATAAATTTAATAGTTAATCACATCATTAATTATTGATTATTATTATTATAGTTAATCAATAATTAATTACAATTATCTATTATAATCAATTATGTAATTGACATAACTTGCCTAATTTGAGTGAACTAAGTTTATGCAAGTATTTGTGTATGCCTAAAGGATTATAAAGCACCAATAGGTATAGTTGAATTGGCAACATAGACTGAATATGTGGAGAGAAAACCTGGTTAAGTGCTCGTTAGGATGAGTTTTTATTCTTAAAAAAGTTGTTTTTTTAAAAATAAAAGTCTTTTTGAGAATTTTTAGATGTTTGGATAACAACTTTTTAAAAAAGCAAAATTTAAAATAAAAGTTAAAATGATGCTATTTTTTTAGCTAGTAGTTGGTTGCTTTTGAAAAAAGCAGAAATTAAAAGATAATATATATATGGTTTTAATATTTTTAAAGTGGATGTACATAAGTTATCTATATTCGCTCCTAAAACGACGTCGTTTTGAGTTGAAAATTTAAAAAATTATAATGAAAAATACTATTATAATCTTGAAATAAATTATAATTACAAAAATACCTGGATTTTCGCCTCAAAACGACGTCGTTTTGGTCTCAATGTAGATAAGTTATTTACATTGACTGTAGAAAAAGCGAACTCTATATATTATATTTTTTTTTTTGGAAAAAAGATAATATAAATTTTTGAAATACAATTTTAACCTCATCCTATCATACCTATTTTATCTCTCCTTATCCCACGATCAATCGATCATGCTATTTTATCTCTCCTTTATTGTAATTTTATATATAAAAGTGCTTTTTTTATTTTAACATCCAAACAACTTTTTTATGTAAAAGTGATTTTCAGATCATACATCTAAACGTAAAATAACTTTACCTCTTAAAAAAAGTTTTTTTAAAAAAAGCAATGCATAAAAGTCATTTTTTTAAAAGCTCATCCAAACAGGCCCAATACATCTTTAGAAAAAGGCAAAGAACTTTAACTATGACTAAGTCCCAACTCGAGATTAGTCACATAATTAGTTCAAAGAATTAATTCTTGTAAGAATACCGGAGGCTAATTAGTGTCGATATACTAAATAAATAACACTTTTTTTTTGGTAATTAATAACACTTTTTTTATATATAAAGTCTCACAAATTTAATACATTAATTTTATATTATTTTAAAATATTATCCAAATATTGAAATGAAACTTTCAGTCGATTTCAATCCTTCCTTAAATAGAACTAAACCAAGTTATGTGAGAAGCCATAACAAAATAAAATATGACTCATAAATCTCCACCGATCAAAAACATCAGCTGAGAATATATAAAGTGTACTCGGAAAGGAAAAATTTGGTTTAAAAATATGTAATTGAAGGAAGGAAATAGACCTCTCACCGAATTTCAAAAAATGGAGGCTTTGTGAGGACATAATGGGCCCTTCATATTGGTCTCACTCCGTTTTGATATTAACACCCCACCTTATAGGATTGGGTCGGATGATGCCTCTCAGGTGCAGCATTCAAACAAAGTGCACGCTTGAAGACCCCAATTCATTCAGAGTCATATCCCTTTCTTGTAGAAGAAAATGATACTTCATCTCGATCTAATTACTACCTAATTTATTAGAATGAATGTCATCCTTGCATTATGTGTTTGAATTCATTTTACATTCTGATTAGAACGCCTTCATCCTCTTCAAAACTTACTATTTTGAAAATTGAATTTACTATTCTTTTAACATGTCAAAATCTCTGATTAGAACGCCACTATAACAACAACTATTGAGTTTCTATTTTTATCATATAATAACAATGAAGTAGATCAATCTTAAAAGTATGCCAACGAAATTGCTTATTGCTCACGTGTTAGTCCTCGAAACAACGTGGCATTCACCAACATGTGAATCTAAATCATAAAATATTGGGTTTGTAGACATGACAGATACGAGAGAACGCCCATATATTAAGAAAAACAAATATAATGCAAGATTATGGAATATGCGTGGAAGCCTATACAACCAACCATATAACAAAAGAACAAGGCATCAATTATGATAGTGCATACTGCATAGATTCATGTGTAAGTTTTGCAGTATTGTTAAAAAAATCTGAATTTTTATGAAGAGAAAAGGGTGGGATTGGGACGATACGAGAATGAAAGGCATAAATGATTAATTATGGTGTTTTCAAAGAAACACCCAAGTTTTACCAATTGGCAGCTAGCATTCTTTAATTTTGTCACCTTAAATTGAAAAGATGCTGTAACATGATGATAACATGAGAGAAAAAGCAACAAGTTCGAATGTTTGGTCGAGAAACAAAAATTAACCAGTGCTATGCTCTACTTGATTAGCATTATTACTTTCAGAGTAAACCACACCAATCCCCACCTCCACGCACGTGGGGCATGGAGTTGGGACAAGAACCTTACACTCCACAGAAAAAAGGCACCGCATGCATGAATTTCATAATATATATATAGGACGGATATTCTTACATTGGTATAAGAGTTAGAAGTCTTACATCCAATCTTGACCATAGATCCATTTGTATCTAATGGTGGCTCACGTTATTAAAAAATTAAAGCCCTTAGATATAAATGAAATTAATGAACAAGATTCAGAGATTGTAACTTATACTAATATAAAATGATCATAACTCTATATATATATATATAAGAAATCATTTTCTCATTTTATATGAGAAATATTATCTTATATAACAGAGATAATATCACAAGTGAGACTCATATTTGATTTATGGAGAGAAATATAATCTATATTATATACATCAGAGAACTGAATAGAAAAGAAAAAAATACTTTGGTGTAGTGTGTCAGCTAATGAAGGGTGATTGTTCCTGATCTCAGGCAAAGGGTAGTCGTTTACTTTTCTTTTAGCTTCTCTGTTTCTCTCTCTTGCTTTCTCTCTCTTTACAAAAGCAAATAAACAAAGATGCTGTTGAGGTGATGTCCCACTGCATTTTCTTACAGTGTAGCCTCCTAACACCCAAAGCCTTTATCTTTCCTTTTTCTCTCTTCCTTCAGTTTTGCTCTTTCTCTTTCTTTCTTCACTTGCACACGTTCCTTTCACTGTACTTTTTAGAGACAGATACACAGACACATATAACACATTCAACAGAGGAAAGAGTTAGAGAGAATGAGTTCATCCTCAGGTCAGAGCAGTGGCTATGATCTCTCTTTCAAGATCTTGTTGATTGGAGATTCCGGGGTGGGAAAAAGTAGCTTACTTGTCAGCTTCATTTCTAGCTCTGTTGACGATCTTTCACCCACCATTGGTAATTTGTTGCTGATTGCATAAACCCATTATTTCTTTATCTTCAAGCTTTACAAGCATGGGATTTCATTGTTGCACTTCTTTCTTATAATTTGTTCTTAACCAAATGGTTCCTCATGGTTGTTTGTCGATCTATTATTTACAGTGACACTGTTAAAAGTTGTGATTGTTAATTTTGTGTACGATTTAACTGCTATATTGTTTTGCTCCTTTTATACCAGTAGAATTAACAAACAATTGAATTTATGCTCTCCTTGCCTAGGCCATTTTGCTTTTATCTGATTTGAGTTTTGATATGATCTAATGTCGTTTCTATGATCTGTAGGTGTTGATTTTAAGATCAAAATGCTCACAGTAGGTGGGAAGAGATTAAAACTAACAATTTGGGACACTGGTAATATATAGTCAAATCTCGTGCTTTTCCAGTTCTTGAACTTAGACCTTTTGTTCAATCCCTGCAGCATGTGATTCAAACAGATTAGAATGAAATGGTCCCTCATAGACTGTTTCTGTTGAATCACTTGTCCATTGACCAAAATGACTAATTCAAGTGGTATATTGAATTATAGACTTAAAAAAATAACATTACATCTATTTGCAGCTGGGCAGGAAAGGTTCAGGACTCTAACTAGTTCTTACTATAGAGGAGCACAAGGAATCGTTCTTGGTATGGTAAATTGATTTATGTGTATAAGATTATCTGATTCTTCTACGTCAGAGGCCTTTCTAGAAATTCGTTATGGATATTTGTATTTGCCACTAGCATTGAACTCTGTTTTAAGTCTGTACTTTCATCCATGCTCTTGATATTTGTTATTTAAGAGTGATGCCTGATAAAGGAAGATTAAAATTAAATGATAACATTTAGTACCAACCTTGGTTTCAAGCTCTGCTTTTGAAGGCTTAGATAAATGCATATAGTAAAATAAGTTGTATAGTTTTTATCAATCATTAGATTGGCTTTACAATTGTAACTAGGGATACAAGGCGCTTCTCAATGATGTCCCCCGTTGCTTCATCTTTTTGATAGTAACATGATTCTTGCCATTGTCTTTCTTGTCCCTTTTAAGGCATGAAGAATTTGGTAAGCATATTTTTCTTGGGACCATCTGAAACCTTAATTTTATAATACTTAAGGTGGATAAAGTATGTGTTTGAATTATTGCTAGTTAATATGTTTTGAATTTTAATGATTTCCTTTTATAGAGTGCTTCGTTTTCTTTTCTTCTAGTTTACGATGTGACAAGGAGAGAAACATTTACAAACTTATCAGAAGTGTGGTCTAAGGAAGTCGAACTCTATTCAACTAATCAGGATTGCGTGAAGATGCTAGTTGGAAATAAAGTTGATAGAGTAAGTTCTGTGCTCTTATATTGGACCTGAATATACATGACTCAAGGGAATGAATTTGTAATTGTAGTGAAGTATTCCTCATTAAAATGGTTGAAAAATAGTGGCTCTGATCCTATCTGCATTAAGGCAATGAAACAAAATTCAAGTTTTGTCTTCCGTATATCCCTTCACTCAGTGTTTATAGAATTAATAACAATAATCCAATACTCCCATCACGAGAAAATTATGACATCTATATGATTTCTAGTAAGTAACTTTAATTCTATCCTTTTTTTGCTTTAGGTGTGGTTCTTAGGGACCAACTAAAATTGATCAAATAAGACCTTGTCTTTCATGGACATGCATATGATGCACATACAACTGCTCCAAACTTATCTGATGACATACATCAGAAAACTGGATCCTTGTATTTTCAGCCATATTAGATGAAAATAGTCCCATTTATACTCTCATTGCATCAGCAAGGGGCATTTGTTTTTGAACTCAATGTCGATTCTGTGAATATCTGGATTACTACATGCATACACTTTAGGCGGCACTGTCGTCTGGAACCTTCCATGTTGTCAAAGCAACCTAATTAAGCCAGTCATTAACAGTTTACTTGACACACTGAAAATGTTAAAGAAACTTTTGGAGATATAGATGAATCAGAACTAGGACATCATCTAGCATTAACGTCAAAACCCAATGCTCACGTCATAGGTTAAGATCATAAATAAGAGCCTCATTTTTAGACATAGATTTAGATTTATCAAAATTTTGAAATGGATTTAGACACAACTTTTAGGGTTCCTTCCAATAAGATTTTAACATGACAAGGTAATGTAGACAGAAGTAGACACAAAAGCCTTAAACTATGTCCCACAAATTTTTTCATGACCCCACTTGTTTAATGTTTTTGTGTCTATCTCTCTATTCACATGACCATATCATGTCAAAATCTCACTTAAAAGGATCCATTTCCATCTTTTATGTTCTATTCATTAATTTCTGTAATGGTTTATTTCTCTACATTTAGGATTCTGAAAGGGCTGTGAGCAGAGAAGAGGGCTTAGCCCTTGCCAAGGAATTGGGGTGTTTTCTTCTTGAATGTAGTGCTAAAACCCGAGAAAATGTGGAGCAGTGCTTTGAAGAACTTGCTCTAAAGGTACAGTTTTAGATGCTTGCTCAAAAGCTGCTTTTATCTTGTGCATAATACAACTTTGCAATTAACTGACTGTAAGGTCATAAACTAACCTAAGCTTAAACATTTGTTCAAAACTAATAATAATTCAATTGAGAAATTTGCGGAGCGAAGTGTAGAACATGTTTCAATTAGTAATTTTTGGGATGCAGAAGTACCTAATATTTGCTTTAGTCATCAGTAAGAATAGACATAATGGTGGAGAGTGAATACTTCATCTGGTTTTAAGAAATTAGGTTAATATTCTAAAAAAGTACTTAATTATTTATTATAAGATGTAATTATTACTTGGAAAATGTAAAACAAGGAATAAAGAGTGGAACTGCGGAAGTGATGATATTTTGCATTAGTGAAAATTCTATTGTATACTGATTGCTGTGTATTGTTTTTCCTATCCAATCATGACAAATATGGCACCATTTGATAGATAATGGAAGCTCCTAGTCTTTTGGAAGAAGGATCAACAGCAGTTAAAAGGAATGTTTTAAAACAGAAACAAGAACCCCAAGCATCCCAAAACGGTGGTTGTTGCTCTTAAAAATGCTGCGTTGAGGACATTGAGTCTTAAACTAGCATATCTTTGACAAATCCTGTATATGTGAGCTTCTTCCCATGTTTCTTACTGCTGCCACTGTCTTTTGGTTGCTTAATTACTTGTTCTACCAAAATGGGGTAATTGGCAACAATGACACCTATTAGCTTGTGTAAATTTGTTTTCCTATGAATGATGTATCATTTATGTGTTGCTCCAAGATCCAAGTCGATCCTGATAATGCAACTGCAGTTTCATGCAATTTTATTGCGCACAGTACACCTAATTAATCCAAGAATTTGGTTAACTTGTTGAAAGGCAAAAAAATAAAAGTAACGTACGCAAGTTGTTTTACTCCAAAATACTACTTGAGGGTCTACTAGCGTGACCTGCATTCACTTATTCACAAACTTGTTCAGCCTATATATATGGTTTTGTCAAAGAATAGAGGGCATGGACCACTTACAAGTTTCTCTCATATATATAATCCGCTATTAATATTACAGGTTTGTGAATATATTGTGCAAATATCATTACAAATTTGCAAACAACGTTTTGTTGGATAAATTAAAGAGTGGCTGCCAAATTCCTCGCAGAGAATTGTATTGATGTAACTCCTAATTTTCTAGTAAAATAAGGATATTTTATTGCAATTGAAAACTTAAAACACAGCAGCATCAGTAGTTTGTACACAGTTTCTGAAGTAAGATTGTGTAAGAAGCATATCACTCAACTCAATGTGATGCTGCCAACAAAATATTTAAGATACCCACGGCCACAATTAGTCTGACTAGACAATATGAAACTATCGAAAATTTTCTAAACATCTTTCCAGCTGCATCAAATCTTTCAGATCCTTGGAAAAGTTTCTTCAACAAAAATTTTTGTAGAAATTGCAAGAGCAAAAGAAAACTACTTGTTTGCCTTTGCAAACTGTACACAACATCATATTCCACAATGACAAGGGAACACATGAAGAATTGTCAGTACCAGCAGAAACTCATAAGCTGCAGCATGCTGGTATCAGCGTCATTGTTGCTGAGGTAGTTGAGCCTCTTGCTGGATCAGGTTTACTGATCTTGATGGTTTGAGACTATATATTAAATAAATAAAAAATGTCAAAAAAGTAGTCCAGAAAATCCATCCTGTGCCTGTATAAGAAGATGCAGGAAGGCAAAATATGTACCTCCGATATTGGAACACCCTCTGAAAGTCTATGCTTTATGTCTCTCGAGATAGAAAAGAAGATCTCTTCCACGTTCAAATTTGTTTTGGCACTCTGGTCAGAAAAGTTTCAATCACGAAAGTGCAGAGAAAGTAATGTCCAGAGAAGTGCATACTCAAACTTCAAGTAACAAAAAATGCAAAATAAACAGTAGCTAAACCCAGCTTAAATCAATGTGTACAAATTGTAGGTGATAAATTTGGCATTTTACATTATACTAACCGTCTCAAAAAATTTGATACCGTATTCATCAGCCAAAGCCTGGCCCCTTGATGTTGGGACAGCCTACAAGAAAATCCATCAAAAAAAAAAAAATCACTTGAGATATATATAGCAGACAACAACAACAAGATAAGCTTGTAAACAAATTTCAGTCATTACCCTTTTGCTCTCATCCATGTCAACTTTGTTCCCCACCAATATTTTGTTTACATTATCAGATGCATGCTCCTCAATGTTCCTGAACCAGTTCCTGATGTCTACATCAATATTAAACTATAACCATGAATACATAATTCTGCTTGTTGATACCATTCCACCATTATAATCTTAAAGATTATAAGAGAAACAAAAAAAAATAGAGTGAGATAGTGCAATACTGTCAAAAGATGATTCATCTGTTATGTCGTAGACCAGCAATATACCCATGGCACCCCTGTAATAAGCTATATGAAACAATAAAAAATAACAATCAATTAACAATACATACAGAAACAATTAAAAAAAATGAAAAATGAAAAATCCACTCTACTATCTTTTTATCCTTTCTTCCAGCATTGTTTATAAAATTATTAAGATAATTCATCTGTGAAGAGAAAAAAAAAAAAGGTACCAGTTGTTATTGTTTTGAAACGTTCTTGGCCAGCAGTGTCCCATATTTGCAGTTTTGCGCGTTTCCCATCAAGCGCAACTGTCCTAATCTTAAAGTCAATCCTGAATGAGTAAAATATGTCTCAGTACCCTACCGAAAGGATCATATTCCTTTAGAACTTCTTGTGCTTCGTTATTATAATATGTAATATGCTAGTAGAGCATGTAATGCCTTGATACAGATTCTCAATTCCCTGAAATAATCGCATAACATAATTAACAACAAAATGCCTCCTAAGGATTTCTTATATGCATACCCGATAGTAGTGATGAAACTAGTATTAAAAGAATCATCTGTGAAACGTAGTAGTAAGCAACTCTTTCCTACCCCTGCACATTTAATTAACAGTATCATGTCAATTATAAGGACAATGGCCTCATAAAAAAGCAATATTAGAGCAGCAACATTAAAAGTGAACACGATAAATATAATTCTAAACAAATTTGATATAATTATTCATTTATATTTAAATGAATTTACTTCTTTTATTTAAAATATACATTTATTTGGCATGCACTGTAAGTATAAAATTATTTTGTACTATCGTTTCGTAATATTTTGAAACATTTGTATAAAAATCGATTTGTGCACTTCAAGACTGAGAATTAGAGTGTGCAAATAGCGTCATCCAAACGTGTAACAGAGAAACCAAATCATTGCGTAAGAAAGTTGTGACAAATAGAGAATATTAATCTTAATTCAACGAGCTCGTGCTTTAGTTGAGGCTACATTAATGTTTGTTATATATCTTTAACATGCTCTTACTAAAAAATTACACAAGGAAAAGTAAGGAGCGGTGAAGATCGAATATGTAACACCGAGAGACTCTGATATCATATAAAGAATCAATTCAATCCAAAACTTAAGCAGTTGAGTAAAGCTATATTAATAATTTTATATAACTCTGGCAAATCTAAAAAGCAGCAAACTAACAAATTAATAATGCAAATTAAACAGCAATACCCAAAAGTTGAAGATGGGAAAACCAAAAGAAAAACTCAAAAAAGAGAGAGTAAGAAATGTATATAAGACTTGCCGCTATCCCCAATGAGAAGAAGCTTAATAAGGTAATCATAGTCAGCACGAGCTCTTGAAGGTGGAGGAGTCATATCTATTGTTATTGAAGCAGTTGATGATGAGACAGAGAAAGTCACAACAAGTATCAAAACCAAAACTTAAATAACTAGTAGTACTAAGCAAACAACTGTGCTGTGAGGGTTTGGGATACAAACAAACAAAAAAGTGCGACGGACTGTGCTGTGCTATGTTACAACTTACAATTACAAACGTTACTTGCTCCCTCATATATAGTGGCAGTTACATGCATAGGCCCACATTGACCTTTGACCTCATTTTTTACGACGCTTTCCTTGTATTGTTATGCTGGAATATTGGTGTCAGTAGTAGTCACTATGTCACAGCCAGCTGTTTGCATTATCATTAATATTACTTATACCGTTTATTTTTCTTCTAAGATTACTGAGATCACATTAAAAAATGTACTTCAGTATTCAGCCAAAAAAAGAAATCAGAATTACACACCTTCAATTAGTTGAATAGTTATCAATATCTTATGATATACGATACGATTCATATGATATGATACGATTTATTAGCACAGTAATAAGTATCGTGACATATAGCAGAAAGAAGTTTGTATCGGACGATATCATACATATTATAGATACGATACGTATCATGTATCATACGATATGCAAATTAAATTAAAAAATTTAATTTTCAATATAAAAATAGAAACAAAGATTTGATTTATGATTTAAATTAAAAAAATCTAAAAAAATATTATTAATAAGGAAAAAAATAAAAATCTGATTTGTGATTAAAACTCAAAAATCAATCTAAAAAATCTGTATTAATAAAGGAAATAATTAAATAAATATTTTAATATATATCTTAAGGGAAAAAATATTGTAATAACCAATTAGTGTTACTTCCAATCAATTTCACCGTTAGATCGATTATGTTGATCCAACGGTTATATTTATTTCCACATTTGTATGGTTATGATTTCCCGTATTTAATATTTTATATTTATTTCTAGTATGGTTATGATTCCCCATATTTAAAACATTAAATATGGGGAATCATAACTATACAAAAGTGGAAATAAATATAACCATTAGATCAACATAATCGATCTAAAAGTGAAATTGAGTAGTAATATCATTAATAGTAACATTAATTTATTGTTACAATATCTTATCCCATATTTTAAAACTATTTTTTATTATATTTCAGTATCTTACAATTCAATATAATTCATAATACACAATACAAAAAATCACTCAAACGATACATGATACATATTGTATTTCAACAATATTGATTAGTTGTCTTTCATTCGAGTTGAATTTTTATGGTAAAGATAGTGCAGCATTCACATGCAGACCTCGTTCGTGATTGTACCATTGTTTTAATCAAAAAAAAAGTAAGAAATTTTTTTAAGCGAAAAGGGAATGGAAGAATTCACCAATAATTTACGATAGAAATTGCTTATACAAAAAGAAACTGAGTACAATACCATTGACATTAATTAAAAGGGCATTCGAAATAAGACAAACGGAAGTGCAAGGGGGCTGGCACTGAGCCATTGACAGAATGATTTCATGTATAACAATGTAAACGTTGTTCATAATGTACAACAGTCCAAGCACAAATTATAATTGATTATCTTGACGGGATTAACTTTTTCTCCAGTACAATTACAAGTAGACAAACTTCAACAGTTCACACCTAGAGGCGCAGCAGGTCCCAAAGAATGTTTTGTCTCGGGTTTCCTACAATAACGGGTTTAACAGTGTAGTGAAAAAATTTGCCAAAACAAATTAAATCAGCAATTCACTTCTCTTATTTTTATATTAATAAAAAATAATCCTAACTAAAATTAACACATTTAATGACTATTTTTTTTTTTTTTTTGAAAACACATTTAATGACTATTTTGTATCATACGACATTATATTTATGTTTCTTACTAATGTGCAAGAGCTCACTTCTTTCAGCAATGAGTCAATGACGCAGACAATATCTTATATTTCCTATATATATGGTCACTCACATCCCACATGTAAGCACGGTTTTTCAGTTTCCCATGCCCGCTAATATAATATGCAAAAATATTAAAGACACAAAAAAAAAAGGCAATAATGACTAGGACATTTCAAAAAAAGGCCAAATTCTAGGACAGTTTTGTCCACTTGTAATGTGGAAATATAAGCTCTATTTAGGTAGTCCAATATCAGCAAAGCTTATTCCCGGATGTGTTAAATAAGCTCCTACTACGATTAGGTAATTGACAACCAAAGGTAGAGTATATCCTATCTTTTGTTTATTAAAAAGAAACTCTAAAAAAAGACTCTAAACCTTTTAAGGAATTAATGAGAGTCTTCTTTAAATTTTAAAGAAATCATAATTATCATTAATTGGTTCTATTTTAAATTTTAGAGGAATACAAGTTAATTTTTTTTTTAAGGGATTAAATTGAGCCCATAATTTTTGTTGGAGAAAAAAGATATTTACTATTAAAAAAAAAACTCTAAACACGTGTGTCTAATTAAGTCAACTGCTTTGTCTTTAACTGAAACAATGATTATGGAGAAAAATGTAACCACACAAAGTAAAGAGGAATATGTGTGTAATTAACTTGCAATAAATATCTAGAAGCAAAACTAATGGCAGACTAACCTCACCCCACAAAAATAAACTGCAGGGATAAGGTCAGTTTTGACTCAAACAGCTTAATTACTACACATTGATAACTCAAGAAGAATATTAATTAATTGACTCAAGGTCTTTCAGTTAAGCAATGGCTTTGCTTGCCATCGGGTTTTTTTTTCTTTTTTTGGTGATCATTTTGATGGAACTTATCTTTCTACCACTCCAAAACGGAGCCCCAATGAACTAATTAATCCACTACTTTCGGTTTGTGGTTTTGTTGCTACCACACAATGAACTAATTTATTGGTTTTATAAACCAATAAATAGAATGACAATCAAAACAAAAGAAATGAGGAAATTGTGAATCTATATATTTACAATCCACTGACTGAATAAATTCAAATTTTATTTTGTGTCATAGAATGAATGGAAAGAATCAACAATTATATACAAGGCTAAGGTAAAAAATAAAAATAAAAAATCATAATAATAAAGAAGGTCAATAGTACTGAAGACAGAGTGAGGTTAATGTAAAGAAAAAGACAGACTTGAACTTTAGTAATGACAATCCACCAAAGAAGTTGCAGAGAATACAATAACTTTTTCTTTGGACTGAAAAGGAAACTTGGGTTCTCTGTGATCATCCTCAGGTGCTGGAAGATTCAAGTCCAGCTTCAAAACATTTCTGGGTTTCTTGGCTTCTTGTTTTCCGGGGTTTCCACCACTCATAGATAATGTTGCAGAAGTTCTATGCCGTCTCATATGACCCCCCAAGGCTTGACCTGATGTGAACTCAGCTCCACATATGGAACACTCATGAACTTTAGATTTAGGAGTAGTTGTTGTAGCAATGCTGCTTCTATACAAATCCCTATTAGATAATTGTAAGGTGAGGTTGGTGCTTGTGGGATCATAATTATGATGATCATTCGCTGCTAACTCATTAACAAAAGTAGTAACTTTTCCTTGCTTTTCTTCTGTAGTACTACTATTTGCCTTATTAGGTTTCTTGTGGCTGGTTCTGTGGCCACCAAGCGCTTGGAATGAAGGGAAGCATCGGTTACAAGTCTTGCACTGGTAAGGGTATAGCCCTGTGATCTTCTTCTTATTGTTGTTATTGTTGTGATCAGGTGCAGCCACATGCTGGTTGTTGTTATTATGATAGCCTTGAGCCAAGAGAATCAAACAATTGGCCATGTCGTGATCCTCTAATTCTTCGGTTCTGTTCCTGAATTCATCAATTGAAACAGTGGTTGAGGTTGTAGCAACATCATATGATCCTCCTGAATTGTCAGTAGTGCTGCTTCTTGATGTTGTTGACATTGCTAGCCTAAGAGGTGATGGTAGCCTTTGACGCTTCGTGCGCTTGCCTTTGATGATGATTTGCATTTGATCATCGTTGCACACCACATGGTCATGTTCCTCTTGAACCTGCATATTGTTTTATTGAGAGAGAGAGAGAGAGAGAGAGTAGAGAAAAAGAAGCAATGGAAAGAGAGAGTGGGAGTTAATATTATTGGTGAGGTGAGGAATGAGGATGAGAAAAGGTTTATTTCAAGTTGAGGGAAAAAGGCATAATAACCCTGAGGCCAGAACAGTAACGTGCTTTTTTGGCTTTGCCAGAGTAGTTGCGTTTCCAACATTGGAAGTTATTATATATAGCATAAGGAGGAAGCGAGGAAACAAGTGAGATTCGGTTGGCTTTGAAGCAAACCCATTACTTCTTCTCAACGATTCCTTTCTGGAGGATTGGTTTGCAAGCCTGGAACCACACACAATTTTGCAACTCTCTCACACCACACCACACCACCCTTTTTTCTTATCCCCCTTTTATTAGCCTTTCTTGCTTTGTAGTGTTTCTTTTCTCTTCATTCTTATTATTTTATTTTTTTTAAACTTCCTTCTACCACTACAGCTTAACTAAACTAATTTTAACCTCATTTTTATTAATAACCAGCCACTTCCCAAGTGTAGAAAATTTTATGGGTACGTTGTACACAATCCTTGCGATTTGTGATGCGAGATTATCTCCCATTTATTTTATAATTCTAGCTAGCCGCCACGACATGATTGTTTATAAATGGAATGCTAATAGCTATATACACTTGCTAATCAAGGAGTTCATGTGCAGTTGAGTTGACCCAACCACTTCTTATTGTAAGAATTAATCACTACCTCAGTGGACACAGGACACTATTACCCAATAATCACGCTGGCTATACAAAATCATTGGTATACAAATAAATAAGTATATTTGAGTGCTAGTACAAAATAAAATCAATTTGTATTATTATATGATGGATTTGATGTCTGTCATTTTAAATGACATAAGTTATGTCATTTTAGAAGAGAGATAGACACAAAAAATGAAAATCATAGAAGAGAAAGTGAGTGATTTTTTTTAATTTAAATTTTTAATAAAAAATAATTTCTTATGTCTATCTCTCTCCTAAAATGACATTATAATTTTATGTCATTTAAAATGACAAATACTTTTTCCTTTGTTTTTACAATATTACAGAATTAAAAGTTCATAAATTTTCATATTAATTTACTATTACATATTTTATTGATATATTTTAGAATTAACATATAAATATAAAATTTTCAAGCATAAAGAAATTAAAATGGACCATTTAATTATGCATTTATCACTACCATTAAATAAAGGGTTTATTGTTTTTTATATTTTAGTTATCTCCATTTCTCGTAAAAAAGTGTGGAAGAAAAAATACGGGAGATAGGGGAAAAAAAGAGAAAATATGGGTCTCCAAGTACTTTTATGCAGTGTTTTAAAACTCCACCTCATCCCTGGGTTGACCCGGGTCAACCCTGACATCTCCCCTCTGAGGGTTGGGATCACAAGTTGGACCCTATATGCATATCGACCCCTCCGACCCCCAAAATCCGACCGGGTTTCAGTGACTCTCGGGTCAGAGGGGTCAAAGGGGGTCACTGCATGTTTTTCTTTTTACAAAAAATTCCACGAAACAACATTGTTTTATTAAAAAAATAAAATAAAAATGCTTGCAAACCTAAATCTAATCGTTCTCTTCTCTCCCAGCGACCTAGACGTCTTCAATCTTCACCTTGCTGCCGTGAATATTCTAGAAAAGATAAGAATTTTATCCATTCCAATGAAAGCATTACGGTCGTCGATGGAAAACAAAAACTCATTCTTACTTCCTTTAAATTTTTCTTTGTTAGGGATCTTCTCAAAAGAGGTAGAACTGGGTCAGCGTAGTGACCCAATTAGAATGAGTTTTGTACTTTGGTATCTTGATACTTTAATTAGGTTGTGTAATATTGACTTGTGGTTGTAATTGGTGAATTATGTTAAGTATATTTTGAATCTTTGATGATTGGTGGTTTTTTTTTAATATTTTCATATAGGATACATATATTTATATTTTTTTAATATATAATCCGGGTCAGCATAGTGACCCCTTAACCCCCGGTTGAACCCGTGACCCCGTGACCCCTAACCTCGGCCGGGTCGATGGCCGGGCCGGGTTTTTAAACACTGCTTTTATGTGTGTATAGGAGATAAATTTATTTTCTACAACATGAAAAATATTAAAACCTCAAATAAAAGACTTATCAAAAATAGGGATAAGATATTGTTACTACCAAATAATGTTATTACCAATATCACTACCATATATTAATAGTTGATTTTTGCTATTCCACAAATCAAACTCAATTAATTATTAATCGCAATAATTAATAACCATTGATTCACGGAAATCATCGGTTAAGATAGTGTAGTAACAATATCTTATCCCATCAAAATTATACATATTATACAAATAATAACAAGAAATTAATTGGGAAACCTGAATAATTAATTTAATAATAATATAGAATAACAAATTGAAGTTATGTAAGAGAGATACATGGCAAAGTAACATCATTCCAGAAGAATGATTTTCCTTAAGGACGGGAACAAATTAATTAAGAAAAGAAAAGAATAAGGTAATGGAGTAAAAATAGGCGGTGCTGAGGGTGTGGCGTGGGGGTTTCGTGTTGTAAGGTATAGACTATGGAGTATGCGAAGATAGTGGGGAAGAAAGATTCTTAGCGTAAGGAATTCTTATGGAGGAGGTTTGTGAGGGGCACGTAACAGCCATCGCCAGCATCAGCTATAGGTTTTAGTGGCTCAAAGCAAAGCAAAGCATCTTCTTCGCTGCATAATCTTAATAAAACTCCTCCTTAATTATTGTGGCTTAAATTATAATCAATCGAAGCATGAAGAATGCCTACTACACTAACTCTCCACCTCCTCGTATCTTAGAAAATATATCAATCATTGTATGATAATGTTGCTTAAACTTAGACAAGACACAAAGCGAGTTTGTCGGTCGCCAGAACACCATGTATTTCGTTTATAACAATTAAAACAACTTTTAATCCAATAGATTTTTTGTTTCACATCCACTATAAAAATACCCCTTGATTCTGTTCTTCGAATTCTGTAAAAATTCAGGGCCAAAAATTAACTAGAAAAAATAATGCTTATTTTTTGAAGAAAAAAATAAATACCAAACTGTATGGTACAGTAATTCACATGAAGGTAGTCAAGGTACCATTATCACTCGTTCGAATTACTGACTCGAAATTATCAATACTTACGTTTATAATTAATAATACACTTTTTGGGTTTTATATAGAGATATTACTGAAAAAACCACCGTAGGTGTTTAGGAAAGAAAAAAAAAAAAACCTAACATGTGAACCAACCAGAAAGGGATTTTTGGTCAAGTTCAAGTCCTGGATATGTGTAGCTTTATTAAAAACTTGATAGAAAGAATTTTGTTATTCTTGTAATTTTACATGACCTGACCGAATTAATTAATCAATCAATTAATTGGTGGAAAAATCTACATATACATAAAATAAAATAAAAGGGCCGGTATGCCGTATGTGATGAGCTCATCGAATTGCATTATAGAAGTCAATACATATTCACATCTGACGCTTAGCAAAACGAAATCTTAACAATGTGCTTATATATATATATATATATATATAAACTCTTAAGAAATACCGTACCTGAAATTTGGGGGGTGAGGGCAATAAGAGTAAGAAGGCATTCTATATCATTAACTTATGATATGCTTGAAAGTTGAAAGTAGCGGTGCAGGACAAAAAGTTAAAAAGGAAATACAAGTTTCAAAAAGAACCTGCCCCACAAGAACTTTAATCAGTTCTAGCCCTTGATACTGCTATAATCAATTACAGCACTTACCCTTATACAATTGAAAATCGACCATAGCACAACGCACAAAGCGAAAATAAAAAAGGAAAGAAAAAATTGACAGGATGATTTACTTAGTTCATCCGATATAGGTTATGTTTATTGTGTTTGTACTATATTCAACTCACCGTCACTCAAGAGAATATAAATAGGATTTAAAAAATCTTAACAACATCTATTCATGGGTCCAAACCAAACTACTAAAAAAAAGAAAATTACAATAAATTAGAGGTCCACAATAGTACTAGACCTTAACGAGCCGAGGGCACTGCCCCCTGCACCCTCGTCTGCTCAAATGGAAGCGAGACTTCAGTTATCTTTCTACTGACCCTGCAAACAAAGACCCTCATTAGTATGCAAAGTATGAATCATATTCATACCCAACATATATGTGCTTGCAAAGTAATATTATAAACAGAATTGTCTGGTTGGAGTAGGAGTCAATATTATGGTAATTGTCTGGTTGGAGTAGGAGTCAATATTATGGTAATATTTATCCACTTTCTTTCGTGACTTTATTTTCGAAAACTACTACTCTCGTGTATTGTTTTCTTCTAGAAGCATTAGAAGTTAAAGCGTGACCATCTATCTTTCGGAATTTCCTTAAGCTAGGAGTATATATCGGGCACATATTCAGTCTCTCTTGAAAGTTATGTTAAGAAGAAAACCATATAAATTCTCCACCCACGCTTATAAACCGAAGGAAATCACCAGAAATCATGTTTGTATAGCATAAATCAATTATTTAAGTATTTGTATAATGGGAGTTTGTGTAATCATTAATTTTTTAAGTTTATATCAATAACCCTGTCTCAAGTTTTAATTTCGAAGAAAAATAAATGTTTTATTGAGACTGTTAAACTCTCCACAATAAATTTGCGATTAAACATTCGAAATGGAACAATTTGTTACTTATAATCTTCAATTAGGCCATGCTAATAAGTTCTTCTTCCAACTTCCAGTGGAGTAGATTGCGTGGTGTTGAATAAAACAATGTGTCTACATATTTTTTTAATAAGGATTCATATATTGTGTACAGATTGTGCATCTTGAGCACTTGTCGGAGGAAAGGAAAAGCAACTCAGCAAAGATATGGATAGTTCTCCAAAGATAACGACTTTATGCCAACTCAACCCAGCATTCAGGTTTGGTTCATTTTTTTTACTTATTTTCGTCACTA